TTACCCTCCCTCCACCTTTCAGTTTTGAAGTCAAATGGTATTAGTCCTTTAGCTTTGTTTTTTTGTAAAGAACGTTTGGTGATTATAGATTCTTTGTATTTCCTTATAAGTTTTAGAGTCACTTTGTGAATTTCTATAGGAAGATAGGTGTGGAATTAGCGTTGGAATTTAGTTGAATCTATAACTTAATTTGAGAAGAGAGAGAACAAAGATTTACATATACATACATTTTTGGTGGGTGAAGGATTGATTTATTCATAAGTTTTAGTCTTCTATTTAAATATTTCTCTATACTTTCTTTTTAATACTGTATGTTTATGAAAGAGCTTGAAATGTATGCCAGTTACATCTGATTATTTAATGTGTGTTTTGTTTTCGCATTGTGAGCTCCATGTAATGGGGACTGTGTGTTGTGTTCATCATGTCCCTGTGTGTTGTGTTCATCATGTCCCTGTGTCTTGTGTTCATCATGTCCCTGTGTGTTGTGTTCATCATGTCCCTGTGTCTTGTGTTCATCATGTCCCTGTGTGTTGTGTTCATCATGTCCCTGTGTGTTGTGTTCATCATGTCCCTGTGTCTTGTGTTCATCATGTCCCTGTGTGTTGTGTTCATCATGTCCCTGTGTGTTGTGTTCATCATGTCCCTGTGTCTTGTGTTCATCATGTCCCTGTGTGTTGTGTTCATCATGTCCCTGTGTGTTGTGTTCATCATGTCCCTGTGTCTTGTGTTCATCATGTCCCTGTCTATCGCTGTTCCTGGCAAATAGGTGGGGCATAAATGAACGTGTGCTTTTAACACTGTGGCTCTTTATTTAAGCTTTTAATTATTTTTAGAGTATTTAATTGATGACTTTTGCCCTTTCATGGAATTCCTTTGTAGTGGGTGTCATTTTCCTTTCATGATGGGAATTTAAACAACTTTCCATAAAGCTAAGTGTTGCCCTATTTAGAGTACGATCTTTCTTTGTTGGGTTATTATGTTCAGAGAATACAATGCAGACCAGAAAAGTGTTGTTGAGAGGCTTGAAGAATTGGCAGAAAATAATACTGACTAGGATTATTAAGTAAAAGATAAAAACGTACCATTTAAAAAATAATGAAATAGTTTCTTTTACCTTCTCCTAGCAAAAATAAACATAAAAAAATTATAATTAAATTGCAATTAATTTTGAGGAAAAATTAAGCACTTTACTAAGGGGCCCTAATTTCACTTACAAAATTCACTTCCATAAAAAAGTCAAAGAGTACCCAGCATTTCCAAAGGCTCATTTAATATAATGACTCAGTAAAAAACAATGTGGAAGTAAAGATAACAATGAAGCCCATAACATTTTATGCTTTTGTGTTTAGGTAATTGCTTGTTAAATTAAGGAAGTATTTTTTCTGGACATGGGTATACCCCTTTCATTTTTGGTTAAGCATATAATGAAAGTTTTCCTCTAATCTGGTTCAATTCCATTTTGTCTATTCAAAAATTATTTCAATATTAATTTTAGTTCATTTATAACCAATAATTCATTTATAACCAATTTAAGACATTTAGAGAATTGGTAATCATATACTATTATCAGGAAATGCATTGATTTAAGTTTGCAAATGTAAAAGGATTTGACAATGCTTGCTTGCTTTGATTAGTGCAGGTAAACAAGAAAATGCTTATATGCTTTCTTTTCCCAAATTATTATAACAAAATAACCCAATAAACCTATTATTAAGTATTTACTCCAAAATATGTAGTTGAAACTACTCAGCTAATAAAATTATTTTCCTGGGGAATTCACTTAAAATAATTTTTTAGAGAGCACACTATTAAATCGCATTCATAGGTGGAAATGTGGAATTTTGGGGACAGTGTTTTTATAGTGTGACAAAAATATAAGTATCTTAATATTTTATACATTAACTGTAGATTTGGCTATGCTGGTTTCCTGAAATGGGGACATTAGATAGTCATTCTGCCATCTGCTTAACAGAAGAAGCATGTAAAAGATGTAAAAGTATGTTCTTTATGATATACAAATCTAAATAGAATGTTTCACTGAATAACACTTCCTTCATTATACTTGAAATAGAATCTCTATTTGCTTTCTGTCTTAATAAAAGTTTATTTTTAACACAAACATGCTCTGCTATTATAATGAGAAATACTACATAGGTTAAAATATTAATTGCTTATGAATATTTTAAACTGTATTTTTTAGTACTACTTTTATTTTCCTTTTATTAAGCAGATGGGCAGTAGGAAGGTCATAATAGGAGAAACATCACCATGAAATGAATTTAAATTGTTTTACTGAGTAGACTTCATTTGTGCAAACAGAAAGCAGGTCCCAGAAAACCAATTTAATGGTCAGAAAAACTTTAAGGTCTAATACTTCAATCAATTCCTATGCTTTCCTTTCTTGGATGAGTACAAATAGGCTTCTAATGTATATTTAAAGGGTGGGTTGATGCAATGCTTCATATTTGTGGTTCAGCTCAAGAAACTTTGCAGCATTATTTTTCTACATACAAGGTGGGGCAAAAGTGGCTTTGCAGTTGTGAGTATGCGAAACACAGTTTATTCTCTTTTTTTTTTCACTTTTTTCCCCCTCCATTCTTTATTCAGATAGAGCGGGAGGGAGAGAGAGGAAGACACACAGAGAGAAACATCGACACGAAAGGGACACATCGAGTGGCTGCCACCCGCATGACCAACCAGGGCCAGGGACAAACTGCAACCGAGGTACCTGCCCTTAGTGGGAACCGAACCCGGGTTTCTCTGGATCACAGGCCGACACTCTAACCACTGAGCCAAACTGGCCAGGGCCACAGTTTATTCTTGTATTATTATTTATTAATTATTCTGTTATTTTCTATACGAACAACTGCAAACCTACTTTTGCCCCACCCTGTATTTTTTTAACCTATTATGGCTTTATATTTTAGATAAGACAAATAAAACATAAATTCATTTATATAATTTATCAAGTTGTTGAAAGTAAGGTAGTCTCAGTAGATGTAAAATTGATGTTCATAAAAGTTTAAAATCTTTATAAAGATAGTTTTCCTAATGATCATGAATTTTGATATTTTGGGTCCAGTAGAGGATATTACCTATTGGTATGATCCCTGTTTTAGGTCGATAAATCTAGTTGTTAGAGGGCTTGAATGTGTCTTTTCTACTATACGAAATAGTAATAGTAATATGATGATGATGATGACTACAGTAACATTCACTGAGTATTTTCTATGTGACAGACAGTGTACAGTCGTCCCTCACCGCTCTGCGCTTCGACTTTCACGAGAGTGAAGCCGGGCAAGTGGAAGCGTGTAGCGGGGGGGACGACTGCGTGGAAGTAAAGAACCTACTTGGCGGAAATGCATTGATCTGGTAGAGTCTGGAACTGGTTAACCACGATAAATGAAGGCCTACTGTATAAGCCACTTTACACGTTATCTTCTAATCAAAATGAATGAGAATTCAGATGTTGTTGTCTTGTATTTGCACAACTAAATGTCAAGCTAGCCATTTGCTTTTTCCAATCTCTCTACTTCAACTCTCCCCTTCTCTTCATGCACTAATCATTAGTCACATGGTGATGGTGAGGGGTTCTCTCTCTTTTGGTCCATCTTTATTCACACACAGAATGTTAAAACCTGGAAAGAATACATTATTTGTTCATATAATAATCGGCGTATTGCTCAGATGATTTTTCAAGACTGAATATTTTAATGAATATTTTGTTTTACTTTCAAGATGTTGGCATTGAAATCAAATTGAGGTGAGATGGTGGAAGTAGACCATGAGTACTGTTTATTTACATGTAATAAACACTACAACCGTGGTAGTAAAAAAAGAATCATACAGGTCATTCTCCCTAAAAAGAGGAGGGTAGGGGAGGAAAAAAGAAGGAAACTTGGAAGAATAAACAGGCCATTTTCAGCATAAGCCACAGCTAGGACTTGCTCTTGCAGCAAGAAATCTCACTGATCATAATGTGCTCCATCGGGAGCCTGAAAACCTAACCTCTTCCCACTTCTTTGGGAGCATCCCAGTTACTGCTCCTACGTGATGACTCTGACATGGCTCCTAAAGCAGAAACCTATTTGCGTGCATTCATTTTATTTTAAGCTGAGTTTTGAAATACTGTGATACAGAGAAGCCGATTTATTCCATTCCGATCATCTTGTGAGATGTCAGCACTCTAATTCAGTTTATCTATTTCCAGAACGTGAGAGTTTCAATGCAGTAGCACTTTGTCATTTAACTAAGACTGTTAGATGACTGCTTTTTCATTTTAAATTATATTTTACATTTTTATATTGAAAGTACCATATTATGGGGGTGGGTGAAATATTTTCATTAATTTTTCACATACAGCCTGGGCTTAAAATGAATATTTCTCTTTATGCCAGGGATTTGCAGAAGATATGACTAGTTGAAGAACACTTTTGTATTACAGCACTGAATTTGAAGTCATTCCTCATCCAACCACCAATTATTTTAGTAATATGATCTGCAGGTGGTGTGTATTTCTCATATGCAATACCAGAATAAAATTTTTGGTTTTCAGAACTTACCTGCTTTCTTTTCCACAGTTATCAGAACCAAGAAACTCAGTGCATTCTCTTTTAACTATGTGTTCAAGCAAGTTCAGAATTGCATTTTGTAGTCTTTTTCTTGTAATTATTTTGAATTATTCTATTTCATATCTATTTCAGTTTTTGTAAACAAATTCTTTTTGGAAGTAGATGAATTACAAGTTACTTTGGCAGCATACCTTTCATTTTTCTTTACTTAAATAATGTGATGAATGCTGTTTTTGAAAGGACAGGTTTCGGCCCATTCATCCCCCATCTCGATATATATTATGTTGCTTGGGGTCCTTCAATGAGAACTATAATGGAATCTTTGTTTTTCAGTTTTCTTTTGAATTGCTCAATAGTGGATTTTAACTGATAACTAACTTTTAAAGAGCGGAATTAGCAAAGATGTTTAAAGTTATTATTATTTTTCAGCAAGGCTAAAGAAAGTTTGTTGAAAATTCAGAAAGAACGTGATTTTCATCGAATGCACCACAGGCGGATAGTCCAAGAAAAAAACAAATTAATTAATGACTTCAAAGGGTAAGCTGCTAATATTTGTTGGCATAATTACTAAAGAGTTATTTAATTAGTGTGGAGCGACTTGGTTATGGCAGAAGTTTTCAGGTAGGTTATTTATTCAACATTTCCTGAGCATATACTGTGTGCCAAACACAGCACTATGCATCTGACGTCCAAAGGTGACTGAGTTCAGCCGCTGGCTGTCCGTTCGCTGCTGTCTGCCAGGGAGCTCGGGCACTGCGGCTTTGCTGAGGGCTGGCTGTCATTTCTTCTGTTTCTAAGAGGTACGCCAGGAGTGAGTTCCTCTCGTTTGTTGGAGTTTTTTGCTCTGGTACTTGTAAAATTCAGTGTCTTAAGAAAGTGGTCAGGGTCAATGAATTATTGTGTATCTATTCCTGGTTTATAGCCCTTTTCATCAAGTACCTAAGTTCAGTCTTTGGGGTACTCTTCTGGTCCCTGTTGGTACGTGCTTATTAATTCTTGGAGCAGTTTGGATGTATAGTATCTTTCTAGTCGGACCATTAGCTGGCAGTCAGGAGAGGAGGAAGCAGATAGAAGTGACTTCAGGAGGACATCTTTTACCCTGTGGTGGAGAGATCTCTGAAGCATCATTTTCTAAAGAAAGAGGGCCACTTCTGCAAACCCACAGGTCCAGAGGAGTGGGGCAATAGAACTAACATCCTTAGGGCATCCTGAGGACCAGAGAAAAAGAGAGAATTTTATATTGATAAAAGAAATCAATTCCTCAGGAAGACATAGCATGTATGAATCTAATGTAAGCGTTTCAAAATATATGGAGCAAAATCTGATAAAATAGAAAGGAAATATGAATATTTCCACATTTGCAGTAGGAGATTTTACCCCCTTTAGCAATTTGCAGAAAAATAGGCAACATTCCTCTAAGTCTATAGAACAAGATAAATTAATTGAGCCTAATTGACCTTTCTTGAAATCTACTTTGGATTTTTCAAGTGCACATGGAATGTTCATCAAAATAGGTCATATGCTGAGCCTTAAAATAAGTCTGTCTATTAATTTCAAAGAGTTGATGTCATGCAAAGTATGTATGTTCTCTGATTAAACCAAATTAAGTTAAAAATTGATGACACAAAGTTCTGTGGAAAATTCCTAGTTACATACCTGGAAATTAAATAGTACTCTTCTGAATAACACAAGTCAACAAAGAAAATGAGAAAATATTTTGAACTGGCTGATTTAAAATGCAGCATTTCAAAGGTGTGGAATGAAGCCAAAGCAATGTTTAAAATAAAATTGATAGCTTTAAATTCTTATATTAGAAAATAAGAAAATATTAAACCAGTGATCTAATCTTGCACCTTAGAAGCTCCAAAAACCAAATTAAATATGAAGAAAGAAAAAGAAATGAAACAATAAAAATAAGACTTGTAACCAATAAACTAGCAAAGGGACAAACATAAGAAAAAATCAACAAACTCATATATTGGTTGTTTTATAAATATAATAAAACTGACAAAAATTGATAATAGAATTATAATAGAATTGAGAAATTCTAGGTAGAATAATACTTACCAAATGTTGGTAAGTTGGAGTATAAATTAAAACCCATCAATTCATCTATGTATTTTTTCCTAAGAAATGAAGATCTATAACCAAAACATAGCTTACGTGACTGGTATGAATGGTCATAGCAACTTTATTCATAATAGCCTCGAACTGATAACAACTTCATCAGCAGAATATTGCACAAACACATTTTGGATTATACATACAAGGAAATACTAAAGGTAAAAAAACAATGAATTATTGATATAGACAACAACATGAAAGAACCTGAAAAATTATGCTGACTGAAAGAAGCCAGTTTCAAAAGAGAACATAGTCTATGATTCCAAATATATGAAGTTCTAGAATCTCCTGAGATGTTGAAAATGCTCTGTCTTTTACTAACAATGTGGAGTACCCGGGCATGCATATTTATGAAAATTCTAAACTGTAACATTTAAGGTCTGTATATTTTACTCCATGTTAATTACACTTCAACATAAAAGTAAAAAAGTTTTGAAAACATTTTCAAGTACAACAGATTCTTAGAGGTGTTTATAACATAAGTTAAATCAATTATTCTACGAGATATCAAAATATTTTTATACTTGTTTCTTAATATGAGGTTATCAAACTTATTTTCAAGACCATTTTAAAGTTTACTTTCATGTGGATGACACTTTCTGTTTAGTCATCTGTTGTTTGTAACCTTTGTCTTTTTGAAAATTGTTTCTGAATTAGTGAAAGGAACACACCATTTCTCTCTCTCGGTGAACAGCAATGCTCTTCTGAATGCATGTTTGAATTCAGAGAAATGTTACTTTCCACACCCACCCAGGTTGCAGGGAGGTCGTATGCCATATAATACTTCTTGCACTTCTTGGTTCTGTTGTGTTGACCTTTATGTGGTTATTCATTTTTTTAACCAATGCCAAAATATTGTTTAGATGTTAAATGGAAATCACTGATTTAGCTGAATTACCCTTTAAGATGCCCTTTATTTTTCACAGGTTGAAGTTACATTATGCATCTTATGAACCAACTATAAGGGTTTTACTTGAAAAACACCACACTTTACTGAGGCAGAAAATGCTCACCTCCTTGGAAAGAGACCGAGCAGTTGAGCAGGTAAAAAGACTATCACAGGTAACTCGAAGGGATTTTCACCGTTTATTTTTTGTAACAAAATTAGAAGTCTTGCTTTTGTTTCTGAGACAGATTTTAAAAGTTTCCACCAACTGTCATGTGGTAAAAATGATTCATTTGGAAACATTAGACAAAGTATTTTATCTGTTTGAAACCTGTTAAGATTTGTAATAGGTAAAATATTGTTGAATTAAAACAAAATTTTATAGGAAATTATTGAAATATAGATGAAGAAAAAAACTCAGACTTTGTGGTCACAGAAACTTGAGTTTAAATGCCAGTTTTGACAGCTATAAACATGGATCTTAGTTAAACACATTGAACTCAGATTTCTCATATATAAAGTGTAGCCACAACGCCTACCTTTTAATATTGCTTTGAAAATTGCTTGTGATATTGAATAAAATTTTCCTGCAATTTACTCCTAAGTAAGTATTGGCACAACTAGTGATTGACTCAATTTTTCATTATTTTTGTTATTGACACCCTTTTCCATTCTTCCCATACTCTTAGGCTTAGGGCAGAATTGAGAATCTCTTACAGTTTTCAAGAAACATAAAACAGAAGTATTATGGGCCACATTAAAAATATGTAGCAGTTTATTTGAAAATATAAAACGGAATCTATGCTTAACATTTTTTAGTGCTTTCTGGAAATACCCATTTTTAGCCAAACTTTCAGTATCTGCAAAAACTTACACAATGGTTAAACTCTTTCTTTGAATTATTTGATCAAGACATGCTTTAATCAAGTGAATTTTGCCTTTTCTTGAGGCAATTTTTGGCTGCTAAAATGCAAAACATCACTTGTGATTCTTTGTGTTTGAATTTTAATTTTGTATTCTTGAATGTTTGAATTGCATTATTAGTAATATTGCATAAAATGTGTTTAATACTAACTTAAAAATTTTTATGGCAGCCCTGGCCAGTTTGGCTCAGCGGTTAGTGCGTCGGCCTGCGGTACAGAGAGACCCGGGTTCGGTTCCCGCTAGGGGCACGTGCCTCCGTTGCAGTTTGTCCCTGGCCCTGGTTGGTCGTGCGGGTGGCGACCACTCGATGTGTCCCTTCACATCGATGTTTCTCTCTCTCTCTCTCTTCCTCTCTCTCCCTTCCGCTCTGTCTGAACAAAAAATGCAAAAATGTCCTCGGGTGAGGATAAAAAAAAAAAAAAAAATTTTATGGCATTTTATGTCACATCTTCAGAAATTCATCTCCTTTCTACTTCCCCCTCCCCTCCCCCTCCCCCTTCCCCTCCCCCTCCTCCTCCTTCTCCTTCTCCTCCTTCTTCATTTAATCCTTACCAGAGGTATTTTTTTGTTTATCTTCAGATAGAGTGGGAGGGAGAGAGGGGGAGAGAAAGGGAGAGAGAGAGAAACAGATGTGAGAGAGACAAATCGACTGGTTGCTTCCCGAATGACCCTGACCAGGGCCCTGGACAAACTGCAACTGAGGTAGTACGTGCCCTTGGCTGGAATTGAACCCTTGACTCGTTGGTCTGCAGGCCGACGCTCTATCTCTGAGCCAAAATGGCCAGGGCTCCTTTCTCCTTTTTATGAAACCTGCTTCCAGCCTTCTAGTAGGAGCCACAGCTCTGCATCTGGGTTCAGGTAGTTCCTTCTTCTTATCTTGCCGTGGGACCAACTTAGACCTTGCTACCCATCTTATTCTTCCTTTCTCCCCTGTCTTACCTTCTCCAAGGAGGAAGCCATCAGTGACCCGGTGGCTCATTCCCAAGGGACCACGTATGTTTTGGCATGGCTGGCAGACCGCTCAGACTGAGTTTCACCATTCAGGGATATCAGGGCCCCTCAGGCATCCATGCTGGCGAGTGCCCACACTCCCCTCCGGGCTGTTGATTTCTCCCTCTGCAGCCTGGCCAGGTCGGATCTGTCACTCCTGTTGTGTGTGACTAGAGCCAAGTGGTCTTCCTGGAAGGGCCATCAGTTCTCTTATGTCTGATGTGAGGGGTGTTTCTCTGGGTCGGTCAAAGGCATGTTGAGAACACATTTAAGCCACACACAGGCTCTGGGTTTCACGTTGCTCCTCGTTGGTTTGGGAGTGGGACGTGTGAGCTCCAGCGTGCTGCCAAGTAGCCACATGAACATGCAGGTCGTTTTACATGCATGTCTGTTTTCTCACCTGTTAGATAAAACAACTTGCCCTATAGTTGATATTTATCTGAAATGGAAACGTGTCTAAAAAAGTAACACTGCTCTCTGTGTGGGGCAGGGTTGAATTTTACACACTACCGTTCAGATGTACAAAGACTTTTATCTTTATTATCTGCAGCTTCTTTTCCCCTTGAACCCCTACTCCTGCTGAAGGCAAAGGAAAACAACCTGCTATTAAAGACTATTCAGATCTTTCTGGGTTACAACAGCTTCTGAGTTTAACAGGATGTTATATTAACTGACTGTTTAGCTAAAACATAACTTGTCAGTGCTAATTTTCTGTTTTCATATGGGGCACCCTCTTCTCCACGTTCTTTCCCCGATGATTCCTAGCACAAGGGGTGCTTCGGTGTCCGCGTGGCCCGCACTGCACGCTGCCCTCCTGGCCTTCACTTTCTTTCTTGTGAGGTGCCACTGGTTTGGCCATATCCCTGGCTTGAGGTACAAGGTTCTGAGTGATTCTCTTGAGTGAGCCTTACATGCCTTGCTGAATGCAAAGCCGCTCTGCTGCAGCATCTGTGAGATCCTTGTACCTGTGGCCTCATTTTCCTGACTGTCCTTCTTTTGCTGGTTCAGTGCTTCAAATGTTAACATTTTTTTATGTGCCCTATTGAGACTTGGTGAGACTTCTGATTTCCTTATACTGCAAATACAAGCCATGGGCAATTTAGAGACTACTTAGCATCTATCTACATAGACACACCTCCTTTAGTCAATTTTCAAATACTGCCTGGAGGGTATTATGTTTTTCCTAGCGCAGTGCAAAATAGGAAAGTCTCTTTAATGGGATGTCAGTGTCCTAGACAATTCCATGAAAAACTAGGAGAATGTGTAGTCTATGCTTGGGAGTGTCCCTGGACTGTCTGGCTTTATGTGCCCTTTGCTTCCAGCTGGCCTCATTTAGATGTTTAGCTTGAGAGGTGATTTAGGGTACTCATATCTGACCTCTTGCTTTTTCTCCCTCTCAGGCACAGAACCCTGTATACTTCTTTGTTCCATTGGATTGGATATATTTCTGTCCTCTTTCACGTTATCAGTCATTCTGCATCCCCACTTGTCCCAGTTAGTTTTAATTTACACCAGTTATCACAGGGCAGTAATTAATATCTTTTATTTTCATTCTAAAATTCTAATTAGGAAGATCCTACTGAGGAAATTCTAAAGAGTTTATTTTTTGTTAGGATTTAGAAATAACTTTCCTCTCTTTATTGATTCTGCTCTTCAAAAACAGTCGATTCACTACAATTTGAAAGTCAGGTTTGAGTAGGAGATGCCGTTTCCGCCACCATGGGTTTTCCTGAGGCCACTGCTGATTCTAGGCACTCGGGTGCTCTTCTTGATCCTTTTCACGGCTTCCAGTGGGCACTGGGCAGAGCAGCTGCATCCTCAGGACGCATTCAGCATTGTACAGTTCCCTCACATCACCAGACCTTGTTCATTTTCCAAATGGGTACATGACTGATGGGGCCTATGAAATATGGTCAGGATCCTAGTTACGAGAAAGGCTGATACATATAGTGAAAGATGGAAGAGTCACAGTTCACTAAATACAGGGTTCTGAGTGGCCAAAATGACTTAGATATTTCTTACACCAATCTACCCCTAGCATCAGTGAGCACATTCTCAAAATTGGGACAGAGAATATGGCCTCAGGCCTATCAGGTCTGCCTGTGGAGAACAAGCCGAGGTTATCATCAATGGGCTGAACCTTCGGGGGAACCCTTCATACAAAGGATGATTTATTACCAACCCAGTCTTTTTCCTCCCTTCCTTCCTTCCTTCCTTCCTTTCTTCCTTCCTTCCTTCCTTCCTTCCTTCCTTCCTTCCTTCCTTCCTTCCTTCCTTCCTTCCTTCCTTCCTTCCTTCCTTCTTTCTTTTTTACTGTTGAGGCATTTTTATCAGGTGTTCAGGTATACCTTGGGTATGTAGCCATGGATTAGCCTTTTAACTCGAATCTAGTAGTGTGTCATGAAGCTGTGGAATGAATTGATTGTGAAAACATATTGCAATATAAGTGAAGCTATATTCAAATATATTTGAAAAGTTCCTCTATGATCCAACATGGAAGATACCAATTTTTATGCTTCTTTCTTTATTATGTCTCAGTGTTTTGATGTAGATATGCACTGAGAATTTCCTTCTAACCAAACTTTTATGATGTGAACTTAGAACAGGACGGAGTATATTGTGTTTTCTATCTGGATTCCTAATCATTGCTTCCTTAAAAACTTTATTTTAATGAACATTAAGCTCATTATTTTTTTCTTTAAATGTATAGAACTCTCAAATACCTTGCATGGAGAAGGCTTAGAATGTAAACTTTAAAAATGATGTTTATTTTGTATATGAAAGAGTGAAAGTATACTGTGAAATGACGAATATCTAATATGTGCTTTCAGATTATTTTGTTAGATAATAAACAGTGTAACAACTTTTTAGTTTATTTAAATCTTTAAATAAATCTGTAATTTAATTAAGTTGGACAGATGTCCAGAATTCTGAATTAGAGCCCTATCTTTGAAGAAAGATAAAATGTAGTTTATTTGTTTAAGCATACAAGTTTAATAAATTGTATTTTATCTTTTTTTTTTTTTTTGATCACAAGGGCTCTAATTAAGGAGATATTCTAAACTAAATATATATATTCTTAGGTATGTCTGCTGAAAAAAATCTAGATGTAATTATACTCCAGTAATAATGAGTAAACCCTATGCTCAGGTGTTGGTTTCTCGTACTGTTCTTCAATAAAAGAAAATAGGGCTTCTCGTAGAAGTGGCTGGTTGTGGGCTGGGCAGGGAAATACCAAATGTGTCCAGAGCATTTGGAGTATCTTATTGTGCCAGGAAGTTAGGAAGTGTTCAAAATGGAAGAAAAGGAAGAAAGGAAGCAAACAAAAAAGGTGAAAGGAAGAAGGAAGGAAGGAAGGAAGGAAGGAAGGAAGGAAGGAAGGAAGGAAGGAAGGAAGGAAGGAAAGAAGGAAAGAAGGAAAGAAGGAAAGAGGGAAGGAAATACCCAACAAAAAGTGGGGTATGTCAAGGGGTTTGTTGTGGGCAACTACAGAGGTCGATGGACCACCAACCAAATTTGCTTTGGATGTTGAGCCTGATGATGCCATGCGCACACCAAGAGGGTATGAAGAGAATACGCTCATTACCTACATACTTGCATTTTCTGGGGAGAACAGCACCTGCCTACCTTGCAGGTTTGAAATGGTTGAAAGAGCAAGGAAAGGGGACTAGCTCGGGGTTTTATTGTGGTTAGAATCAGGGGCCTGGGTGAGAGTTCTCAGGTACAATTAGGGGCTTGCATGGTTTGAATCTTCTGCCAGTGCTGAAGGAGGGATCCCCCAGGTTTTCTTATCTGCTTGCCCAGATGTGGGGCCCAATAGTTAAAAACTATTAGCCATAAAACACCAAAAAATGGAGTCCGATTCATTATAGAAATCAGTCTGAAAGAATTCACGGTGGTCAAATTTGGAGCAATTTGAGCAAGAAAAACAATAATGTCGTTTTGGATTATAACTAAAAGTATAAAATAAATGTTTATAATAATATAATGATCTAAATAAATGGGAGATGAAAGAATAAAATGGAGAAGAAAAGTATCTCCTCCAAGAAGAATTCCGGATGACATCTGTAGATAATCTTTCTCTCAAGGAGGTGGAGCTTAACCCCTAAGCTGTTAAGTGTTGGCTACACTTGCTGACTTGCTTCTAGAAGTTCATTGAAAACAGGGAAAAAAACAAGTTTACATTGGAGAAAGCTGGCAAATGCTGCTTCAGGAAGGTGACCAAGGTTACTGTCAACGTGTTTAATCATGTTGATGGCATGTACCCTTGATGTGATATGCTGATAGTGGAATGTCTCCTCTGTGGTGTTTCTCCCCAAACTCATCACTCCAGTCTAACCATGAGGAAACATCAGACAAACCCAAATTTATGGACATTTTGTGAAATAGTTCTCAGCCAGTGTTCCTCAAGACACAATGACCAAATGTAAGGTCGTATTGTGGATAGGTTCCTGGAAAGGATGAAGGATATTAAGAAAACATTAATGAAATTAGAATAAAATATGGACTTCTCTTAATAATAATGTAACAAATATTAGTTCATTACTTGTGACAAGTACCACAGTAATGTATGACACGAGCAAGGGAAACGGTGCAAGTGTACAGGGACTCTGTACCATATTTGCAGCTTTTATGTCAAGTTTACACTATTTTAAATAAGAGGTGCATTTAAACATTTATATAATGCCTTTGGCATCCAAGAATAATATAAAAATTTTACTCCCTTTTTACTCAGGCATTTCATGAGCAGTAATCTAATGTTACAATTTATTATCTGCTATTTTCTATTAATAAAGAAATATAGCTACTCAGTAGAAGTAGAGAAATGTGTATATTTGTACATATTAAACAGATGGTATTTTGTGATGGCATAATCTTATACAATGAGGGATGTGATACCTTTTTAAGGCTGAAATTTAATTTAAGTATATTGTTCAGGAAATACAGGGAAATGGTGTGCCACCGAAGTAACAAATGTTCTTAATTACAATATATGTTTAATAAAACAAGGAGTCTCTGTGGGTGGAAAATGAGCTAAGAGTTTTAGGAATAACAATAGTTTCTTCATATTTCACTTCCCAACTAATACCTACCTCATCTTTTAAGGACATAAAGATGAGTTAAGTTGTTGTGAAGCAATTTCAACAGAAGAGAAACTTCTCTCAAAGTACAGATCTGAATATTATTATTATTCAGAGTGTGCAGTGAGTGTTCATGGTTCAGGAAACTATGCTGTAAAATGCTTGCTTCAGTCCTGGCCAGGTGCTCCGTTGGTTAGAACGTTGTCCTGGATTGATTCCAGATCAGGGCAGAAACCTAGGTTATGGGTTCGATTCCTGGTCAGGGCATGTATGGGAGGCAACCAATTGATGTTTCTCTCTCTCTGCTCCTTTCTCTTTCTCTAAAAATTCAATAAAAACATATCCTTGGATTAGGATTAAAAATAAATTAATGTTTCAAATGATTACCCATAATAGGTACTTAATAATTGCCTGTGGAATTCAATTTAAACCTAATACTATGTTTTTCTTTTGTTGCCATTTATGTTTAATAATTTGAAATACACAGGACTTAATTCAAGAGATATTAATTTTTTACCCTGGCTGGTCTGGCTCAGAGGTTGGAGTATCGGCCTGTGGACCAGAGAGTCCTGGGTTTGGTTCCCGCTAGGGGCACATACCAAAAAAAAAGAGAGATATTAATTTTTTAAATATTTTGCAATTAATACTTAAACATTACAGTTTTAAACTTTTTTGAGTCACTTAGTTTATAACCCCATCTCTTTGGATTTTACTTTTTAGATTTCTGGACTTCGAACAACAATAAGGAATGTGGAACCAGGGCAAAGTTACCAAGCTTCTAAAATTGGAGGTAAAAGTACAGTACGGCAAAACTAATTTAATACTCGTCGGTGATTTCACAACCTTATCAGAGCTCAAAATTCTAGTGATATTTAAACGTGAATAAATGGTGTGGTAACTGTTTTATAAATTAACATTTTAATGAAAAGATCAAGGGGAAGTATGGATGATATACTCTATAGGCTAATTTTAGAGAAAAATATGAGTAAACCATAATGGGTGGATTTCTGGGCGTAATAGAGTGTCTGGTACCAGACTAATCTTTTCCCCATAAATAACTCTAAAGTTAGACTATATATATGAGGCAGTACTTGTAAACATTGGAAAACAGCACCGTCACGGAAGGCAAGAGAAAGAAGGAAAATTGATAAGTGGAGCTCCAGCATCACCACGACTGTGTCTGGGGAATTTTCCCCACTAAACTCCGTGGAGATGGAGGTCAAGGCGAGCGTGGCCATCCTGCACGAACTGAAGGCGGGCTGCGGAAGCTCTAGGGTGCCCTGGAAAGGGCACCGGATCGGAGATACTGCCGTGAGCGGTGGCCCAGCTTGTGAAGGAGTTTACTACGAATCCTTAACTGATGGCTGGACCATACGTGCAGGACTTGCTGAGACTCAGTCAGAGAGAAGATTCTGTAGGAGTCAGAGGAGACCAGAGACTCCAGAGGTCAAGCAGGGATGGCAGAGTTGGAGTTCTAGCCGTGCCTGGATGGAGAGATCCCTTTAACACCCTGGTAACATCATACTGACATCCAGTATCCTGTATCCACCCTATTAAACCCAAAACAAAGCTACACAAAACTCCTAGACGAAATAGAGTTGACAGTTTGAATCTTGCCAAGTTAGAGGACCTTGAGAAATATTTCCATGGATCCACCAGGCAGGGTATAAAAGTTAAGCTTCAAGATTCAAGGGGACCAAAAACACTGTGTGCTAGAACAAAAATCAGTACCCTTCAGAGGAAGACAGTTGTCCAGATTCTTTATAATCTCTCACCTATATTTCTCGGTAGATAATTATCGTTTTCTAGATATGTTATAGAAACTTGAAAATATGAGCAACAATCAAGACAAAAAGCAGTAACTGGAAACCTACACTGGTACGGCTATGTGTTAGATTTATCAAATACAAGTATTAAAGAGGCTATTTTGAATATGATCAAGGATTTACAGGAAAATCTGACATCAATAAGTGAAGAGATAGGGAATCTTGGCAGATAAATGGACCCCCCCCCAAAAAAGGAAATAGAAATTCTAATACTGAAAAATACAGCTACAATAAAATTGAATACTTCTAAACAGATTGCAGATTACAGAAATGTCAGTTTATTTTAAGAGATCAGTAAAAATAATCAGTTCTAAAGAAGAAATAAAAATTTAAAGAAAATCTGTTTACTTAACATTTATGTAATTAGAGTCCAAAGGAGAAAAGCATGGGAATGAAGCATAAAAATATTTAAGCAAAAGATGACCTAAAGTTTTCCAAGCTTGATGTAAAATATAAATTTACCTATCAAAAACAAAAAGCGTCTAAGTATAAACACAAAGAAAATCATGCCTGGATACATCATATTCAAATTGTTGGAAAGTTAAATGAAAAAAATCATGAAAGCCGCGAGAAAGAAAAGCCGTATCACATAATGGGGAACAACAATATAAATAAAGGCTCATTACAAAGAGACATGGTGGAAGCTAGGAGGAACAATGACATGACATCTTTAAAATGTGGAAAAATTTTAATTCGGAATTTTATATGCAATAAACATATTCTTCAAATATTAGGGTGAAAAGCAGGCATTTTAACATAATGAAAGCGAGAGAGATTGTTGCACACCATTCTGAAGTACAGCAAATACTGAAGGATTTTCTTTGGGTGAAAGAAAATGCCAGAAGGAAACTCAGATCCGGAGGACGGAATACAGAGATATAGAAGTGCCAAATTCTAGTTAATACAAAGGTTACATTTTTCTCTTCTTAATTTTTGTAAAAGAAAATTACTGGTAAAAATTAGGTAATGTTTATCAGGCATGTAAAAGAGAAAATCATTTTGGGGTAATGTTCCATATCTTGAGTTTGGTGGTGGGTATATGCCTCCTGCTTATCTTTGATAAAACTTTTCTAACTCTAAATTTTAAAAGTATGCATTTTATTGTATGTAAATTATACCTCAATGAAGTCAATTTAAAAAAGAATGATGAAAACTCTAAATAGAAAGACTTTGAAATAGTATATATTTTTTTAATAATTTATTTTTGTTACAGATATTTCTCCTTTTTCCCTCATTGACACTCTCCTCCCCATTCCGCCACCCCTTCCCCAGCTTTGTTGTCTATGTCCATTGGTTATGTGTACATGCATATAAGTTCTGTGGTTTATCTCTTTCCCCCCCAAACCCTCCTCTTCTTGGGTTTGTCAGTTGTTTATTTTCTTAATAAACAACATCCTGTTATTTCCAGGTGACTATTCATTGTGTTCTCTACTTAATTAAGACTTAAAAAATATGTAGCATTGATATATTTGAAATGTTTTTCTTAGCCTTGGTTCAGTGGTTTCTTTCCTAACATTTTATGTTAAAGAAATACCAGTTATGTTCATTGATGCCTGAAAAGGTTGCTATGAACACGGCTGTTTATTGCAGTCATATCTATAGTAACAAAACAATGCAAGCAGTCTTAACCTTTGACCACAAGTGACTGTCTAAATACAGTTGATGATACAATACTAGAAACTCTTTAAAAATCATGCATAAGAAAATGCTCATGTTTATTATGTTAATATAATGTTAAGAAATAAAAACATTTATATAGAATGAGGGCATGTCTGTTAAATATATGTGTGAAGAATGATTAGAAGATGCACAAAAATTGTGTAAACAATTTTCTGTGTATGATGTGATTATTTTCTACATATTTTGCTTACTGAATTTGAATATATATGTTTTTTAAAAAATAAAAACTAATTTTAATATATAGATAACTTTTAAGTATATAATCAGATATAAATATGAAAGGATAATATTAAATTATTATAAACTTAGGAACATGAGCTCTCCAAATGACTAAAGGTGTGAAAAATAATATAAATAGGCTTAAAGGTTGAGGAACTTTGTGCACTTGGTTGATGCTGCATCAGATACTCTCTAATGCTACATTCTACTCTTTGTGTATAAAATCTATAGTTTGTGATTTTATGTTTATCCTTGACATCTCTATTAAAATTAACTAATGAAGTTACAGATAACTTCTTTATGAAATTATCTCCTGATATTTAATATAATTAAAAAATGAACACATTGCATGTTTTTCTAAGATGACATTTATAAGTTTTTGGAAGATCAATTTGTAATTATATTTTGATCTGTGATATATTGAAGTGGCTTTTGATCAAAGGGAACACCTTTCCATCCAATGTGAAGACAAAGGTTTTTTTAGTTGAATAATTCTCATTACCTGCCTCAAATTAATTTCTTAAATCCTGTCCTGAATAATGTTTGTGCTCCTTATAAACATGCACTGTGGTTTTAGATATGGGACTTGCAGTACCTTTTCCTAAGCTTCTGGTGTCAGCATTTGACTGTGTGATCTGAGCATCTGTCACCACTCTGATTGCCTCATCAACTTGGAACCTTACTTAGCCAGCGGTTGTAATTTGAAAAGATGTTGGATTTATTGGTCAAGTCGTTGTTCCTCATGAAACCCTGCTCTCCTTCACAATAATTTTTATGTATTTCACATCCTCCCGCTTCCTTTGATTTTAGTTTATTTATTTTTTTTAATCCTCACCCAAAGATACGTTTTATGGATTTTAGAGGGACAGAAATAGAGAGGAAGAGAGAGAGAGAGAGAGAGAGAGAGAGAGAGAGAGAGAGAGAGAAAGAAACAGAACATTGAGTGGCTGTCTACCATACACACCCAATTGGGGATCAAACCTGAAACCTGGGTATCTGGGTATGTGCCCTGACTGGGAATGGAACCCATGATCTTTCATTGTATGGGAGGACATTCCAACCAACTGAGCCAGCTGGCCAGGCCTCAGTTTAATATTAAAAATATTTTATCGCCCGGCTGGTGTGGCTCAGCGGTTGAACGTCGACTCGAGCACCCAGAGTCGCCTGTTTGATTCCCAGTCAGGGCACATGCGCAGGTTGTGGGCCACATCCCCAGTGGGGGCATGCAGGAGGCAGCCTGTTGATGTTCTCTCTCATCAATGTTTCTATCTCTCTCCCTCTCCTTTCTTCTCTCTCTAAAAATCAATAAAGAAAAAAGAATTAAAAATATTTTATCAATATGTTTTCTCTCTGTTATCTGCCTATCCATTTACTTTGGGCAGTAGAAATTCTTCAGATTAAAATTGTATTCACTCTGTAATTAGGAAACAATGAATTGATTGTCATTTAAGTTGAACTTTGGGAAAAAGACAAATTCATTGTTATTTAATTTATGTTTAGGGAATAAGACAAATATTGGACTCATTTAGAGTAGAATTATCAAAGAATTTTAAGCATGCCATGATTTTGGACTAAAGTGGGGTGCCACTTTTAAAATGGTAAAATATATTTTAAAAGTTATCCATTTAATTGCTGCCACCCAGATAGAATATTATTATTATTTTAGCACTCAACTGTCTCACCTGAAAAAAAGGTTTTTAATTCTATACTTATTCTTATATGGCATGTAGAATAATAGAACGATTCCTAGGAGAAAGTGACAGCGAATTGTTATCTACTAGATATTTGAAGTGACAATTTTTTTTTTATCTTCAACCGAGGACATTTTTTTTTTCTTTTATCTTCAGATAGAGCAGGAGGGAGAGAGGGAGGAAGAGAGAGAGAAGCATCAATGTGAGAGACACACATCAACTGGCTGCCACCCACATGACCCCAACTGGGGCAGAGGACAAACTGCAACCAAGGTATATGCCTTTAGCAGGAACTGAACCCAGGACTCTCTGGTCCGCGGGCCGATACTCTAACTGCTGAGCCAAACCAGCCAGGGCAAAGTGACAGTTTTTTGTTATTTTTTGTTGTTGTTATGAGAAGTAATATGTATCATATTTACAAGAAACTACACAGAAAACACTTAAGTATTACATAGTATAAGATAAAACTTTTTTGTACAGTTTACTTAATTTCAAAGTTTATGAATATGCTGGTTTTGATTGTCATGTTTGTGTTAATTAATTTATATCACTTTGATTTTTTTTGTAAGGTTGCAATTTGAATGCAATAATGTGTATTTTCAAAGCACATTATAAAGATACATATAATTGTATTTTAATATAACTTGTGATTTATGATAGGGAATTATGAATTCAAGATTAACAACTAGAAATTGGAAATGTTTGATGAGGCTCACAACTGTGAGAGATGGCTTCAGAGCTTCACAGAGGAAATAGCTATCCTACATAGTGTAAAGTATTCCTTAAGGGTTTTTGTTTAATTAATTGCTGCTTTTTTAAAGTTCAGTATTTAGTTGCTGTGCAAAATTGCATTACTAGATGCCGTTTTGTATGTTTACATGGAGTATGTGGTCTAGTTTAGAATGAACTGCTGTCCTTTCAAATGTAGCTTCTCCTGTTTACCTCTGTTTTATTTTGAATTCCAGTTAGACCTACTCATTTTAGCTAGCAAGTGTCCTCATCTTTTAGATATTGTCTAGTTATCTTTTTGGACTAGGTTATGGATTATTTCTTCACAACCTTTTTTTCAGTAAAATAATTCTTTTTTCAGCTGCATGTAATCTACAAGGAAGTTAGGGACTAGCATATTGGAGATACTTAAGTGCTTATTTGTTACATGAATATATTCATGTATTTCTGATATTTAAGCAGGGACCTGAACATGTTCAGTTCACGCTGGTTAGGTGTGTGCATACATCAAGGAATAGTTGAATGGGTGAAATTTAGCAGTAGAGGTACAATAAATAAAATTTCTGTAAGGGAAAATGTGTGTCTTTGTTTATTTGATGTGTACTCTATTTCTCTTAAGGATTTGTACCTTTCTTAGGTGTTGATTGTGCCCCATTAATGTTTAGGGAACTGCATAGCACCACTTTAATGTCTGGGACTCTCCGTTCTCCAAACCTCTGTGTAAGGAAAAGTGATGTTTATTTGATGGAGAGTGGAGATTACATTTATTATTGCTGCAGTGAGAAATACTGAGAAATGTTATTTCTCTGGCAATTCCACATGCATTCTATTGTATCTGTTCTCATGTTTTGGCTCCAAATGTTGATTTTTTTCCCCTAAAATATTATTAAAATCTGAATTTCTGTAATTTTATTTTTCTTGTGGAGCAATTACATGGAATCACAAACCAAATTCTTTTTGTTTTTTGACATTCATTTTTTATTCTTACCATTATTTTTTGTTTCTTGCTTTTTATTTTATTTCTCTTATGAAGTGGTGCTTAGTAATGTTTTGCATACTCCCTGCGATCTGCTCCTGCTCCTAGAATTACCTGCTGAAACCCTGGGTTCCCCTTTCTTCACTGCAGTTATTTCTATGCAAGTGCTCCTCGTATATGAAAGGAATGAAAGGTAACGGCCATCACAGGGTTATTGACAGGATTTCATAAAATATTAAGTGTAAATTGTTTAGATTGGAGGCTGTTGTAGAGTTAAAGATCAGTTAGGCATAAATGGTTAATTATTATTATTCTATAATATTATCATTATTTAGGTTGTCACCCTTGGCCAGTGAAGAGAATACTTTTCCTGACTCTCAGCGAGCTGTCATTATTGCCTTTCCCCCACACTTGGGCTTCCCAGATGCTGTGAAACTTCAACTTGTAGCAACATTTGGATCTCCAAGTGTTTGAAGTGTTTCATGAACTTTCCTGTAAAACTGAGTTATATAACATTCGGTTTTTATGTTACTGTGAGAGTTCTTTTGAGGATTTTCTCTTTTGTCCGGAACAGGTAGTGAATAGGAAAAATTAATTAGATCAGGGAAGAAACAAATCGCCACCCATGTGTCCCCTGGCCTTTCTAACCCCAGAGTCTTTGAGGGCCTTGGCATCAAAACCTCCCGATATCTTTGTGTTCATTATCTTTTCTCTTTATGCACATAGAGATATAATTTAGAACATTGTTATTTCTTTTATTTATGAGTTAATGGTTATATCCTTATTATTTATTTGAAATTGGTGTGCTGTTTAGAAATACAACGGAGATTTTTGTATATTTAAACATGTATACCAATATGGGAAGATGTGAAAAGGAAAGAGATTTTCCCTGTCACTTACATTTTCTCACAGATGATACCATTAGGACTGTTCTTTATGTCCAAGCGTTAGGAGACCAATTTACAACTGCATTCGGATATTACGGCGTGTTCCTTTCTGTTTTTCTGAACATCTAGAAGCATAGAGAATGCTATTTTATTAGGACAATATTCTTTTTTCAATTTCTCATTTAGTTCCAGTTGTGAAATTTTGTTACTGCTCACCATTCCTTCCTTTGACCCCCTACGGCTTCCTTTATAAGCACAGGCGACCTCATGGTAACAGGAATTGGGACGTGATGTGATTGGAGACAGGCTCCTAAGCTCTCCCACTGTCTTGCCATTTCATTGACCTTTCAGTAACGTCAGCCTGCATTTTTGGGAAATGCATTTGAGACTTTTCTTATGACATTTTGGTATAGTTTTAATATTATTTGTTTAAAAATAAATTGATCGCGACTTTGGCTTTCATAGGTTTGGTTCTGTTTCTTATGGACAAAGAGTATAACTAGTGAGAATACATGTATTATCTTGTAGTTGTTCCTGACTGTGAAAGGGAGCGTGCCCCAGAGGATCCTGCTCAGAGAGGTCTTCGTGAAGCCAGGGAACAAAACAAAAATAAGACAAAGATGAAAGATGATACAAAGGTACGATATTTATTTTTGTTTCCATTAATTTATTTTTAAAAATGTGTTTTTATTGATTTTTCAGAGAGAGAGGGAGAGAAAAAAACATCAATGTGAGACAGAACATCATCGGCTGCCTCCTGCCGCCCCCTCCTGGAGATTGAGCCTGCCCCCCGGGCTGTGTCCTGACTGGGAATCAAAACAGGACCTCAGTCCATGGGACAACGCTCAGTCCACTGAGCCAGACTATCCAGGTTGTTTGCATTAATTTATACTTAGCTCAGATCTTCAGATCCACGGACTCCTGGGGTATCATTATTTTACTGGAAAAGGAGTTTAGAACACGTGGACTTGAGCCCCTTGGTGTAGTGACAGAAAATGGATGTCCCCACATGTTATGTAACTAGTTAATGAGGGTCACACTGCTTAGTGGCAGAGACGGCTCAGTGAATCCCTCTGCCATGTTCCCCAATTTAAGCGTGGCCACGTCTGCTCACCTGCTCACTTTTCTGCTTAAAATTTCCTCTGTCCAAAAGAAATAACTCCCAGATCATTCCTTATTTATTTTCTCATAGTATAACTTCTAACTTTTCTTAGTCTTCTTTAAAAGTAGAATGGAAAGAATTGTGTAGCATTTAAGAACCTCCTTGATTCTGAGTGCCTTTGCTTCACAGTCAGGCTGATAGTTAAAATCTTCTGTAATGATTACACAGAAATTGGTATTAAAAATACCTGGTCAGACCAAGAGATAAAAATTGAGGATGAAGGAAAATTACATAAAACCCATGAGGGGTTTTAGTTTCTTGTTATGAAAATTGAATAAAAGTCTAGCTGAGGTAATGTGTTTTTTCCTTAAAGTATTTATCTTTGAGTTCTAAAATATCTGGCATTCATTAAAAAGTGGACACATTCACAATTGTAATATTTTTAGCAGTAATTCTAAAAGAACAACCGATTTTTATGAATTCAAATAATATAATAATTTAGTTAGCTAAGATCAGTAAAACTTTTTCCCTCAATGGTATTCATTGGAATTTAGTATTTTATATAATATTTGAATAAAATACAGACTAAATGCTTTTGGGTTATACTAAGGTTTTGATAGTCTTTTGATGATTTTCAGATTGGTATTTTACTGTCACTCTTATCACTATTGGTTTATGGATTTATGGTATCACTATTAATGTATGGATTACTCTTTATTATCACTATTAGTTTGTGGATTTATGGTATCACTATTAATGTATGGATTACACTTTATTATCACTATTAGTTTGTGGATTTATGGTATCACTATTAATGTATGGATTACACTTTATTATCACTATTAGTTTGTGGATTTATGGTATCACTATTAATGTATGGATTACACTTTATTATCACTATTAGTTCGTGGATCTATGTATCACTATTAATGTATGGATGATCCTTTATTATCACTATTAGTTCATGGATCTATGGTATCACTATTAATGTATGGATGATCCTTTATTATCACTATTAGTTTGTGGATCTATGGTGTCTGTGGTAGATCCGCTCTCCTTGCCAGCCAGCTTCCCCCTCTGCCAGCATCTTCCAGTCGACCGACCTCCCTTTTTGCCACCGCTCCCCACCTGCCTTTCATCTGAGTCTCAGCCAAAGCGAGCAGTGGTGGAGGATGACAGCTGCTGTCAGTGAATAGCGCTTGTTCTTATCTGGGTAATTTTTGTTTATCTCCACTGAGGTTAGTAGTTCAGGGAGCAAATAAAGCACTCAGGAATATAAAAAAAAATAGCATTAAGGATTTGAGATGTGATGATGGTGATTGTCATCAGGAACATTTCATCTTATAACAACATCAGCATTCTCTTTCAGGTGGTAAGTCATACTTGAAAATGATTTCTTGATTCATTCCCTACGTGCTTATGGCTTGTAAGACTTGACGTTAGCAATACAGTGGTTTTTTATTGATAGAAAGGTACTGAAATATAGGACAGGTACATTCCATATTTCTGCATAGTATATTTTTTGGTGTTTCATTAATTTAATATAGTACCTGTAACATGATGAAAAAATGCAGGCCTTACAAAAAAACTAAAGTGAAGAATATAGTGAATTCTTCCTCTCTTCACTGAGTTATCATTTTTACTAATAATTTATTTTTTTTCCTGCAAGTTTGAACACTTTAACCAACATCTCCCCAGTTCTCCCACATCTCTGTCCCTGGTAAGCACCACTCTCCACTCTATTTCTACACATATATGTGATACCACACACTGTTCTTTCTCTGTCTGGCTTAACCTCTTGTAGCATAATGCCCTAAAGACCCACCTACGTTGTCTGAAACAGAAGGAGGTCCTTTCTCATGACTGGGTGATATTCCATTCCACTGTGTGTGTGTGTGTGTGTGTGTGTGCGCACCACATCTTGTTTATGCGTGTATCCATTGACAGACACTTAGGTTGTTTCCATATCATGTGAATAAGCCTGCAGTGAACTTAAGAATGCAGATACCTCTTCAAGGTCCTGTTTTCATTTCCTTTGGAAATGTATCTAGAAGTGGGATTGCTGGATCATATAGTAGCCCGATTTTTCATTTTTTTGAGGGACCTCCACGCCGTTTTCCATAGTGGCTACACAAATTTACATTCCCTCCAGCAGTGTACAAGGGTTCCTTTTTCTCCACTTCCTCACAAATACTTATCTCTTGTCTTCCTGATGATAGCCATTCTAACAGGTGTGAACTAATGTCTCGCTGTAGTTGTGATTTGCATATCCCTGTGGAGCATTTTTTTCATATACCTGTTGACCATTGGTATGTTTTTCTTTTGAAATGTCTATTCATTTTCTCTGCCTGTATTTTAATTAGATTATTTATTTTATTTGTTATTGAGCTGTATGAGTTTTTTAATATATTCAGATATTTACCCATTATCAGATACGTGGTTTGCAAATATTTTTTCACCTTTCATTTTATTTATTCAATTTTTTTGCTGTGCAGAAGATTTTGTTTAATGAAGTGTCACTTGATTTTTTTCTACGTTGCTTGTGCTTTTGGTGTTATATCCAAATAAATCATTGATAAGAACAATGTCATGGGGCTTTTTTCCTGTTTTTTTCTAGGGGTTTTATAATTTCAGGTCTTACATTTAAGTCTTTAATACATTTCTAGTTTATTTTTTTATAGATGGTATGAAATAAGGATCCAATTTTATTTTCCTGCATGTGGTCATCCAGTTTTCCCAAAACTATTTATTGAACCACAGAGTATTCTTGGCTCTCTTGTCAATTATCTGTTGACTGTATTTGTGGGAGTTTGTTTCTGGGCTTTCTATTTTGTTCCATTTGTCTATGTGTCTATTTTTATGTCATTACTATACTGTTTCAATTACTGTAGCTCTGTAGTACAGTTTGAAATCAGCAATGTGATGCCTCCAGCTTTTTTGTTCTTTCTTGGGATCGCTTAGAATTTAGGGTCTTTGTGATTCTATGCAGATTTTAAGATTTTTTTCCAATGAAAAATGCCACTGGAATTTTGATAGGGATTCCATTGAATCTGTATATGGTGTTACGTAAAATACGGGTCTGAGAGAATGTAAAAAGGGGCCGACAATGCCATCATTACACTAAGAGTGTATTAAGGGAACTTACATATGAGGTGTCTCTCTGGTGGCAACCAGATGACATGGGTTCCTCCTCCATGCTGCATGGTAGGCACTAAGGGGTCCTATAGGACTGAGTGGGATGAGGATGGGTACTGGGGCCTGACCTCCCTCAGAACAGGGGGAGATTCCTTACATGCTTTCCCAGGGCAGCGCTACAGCCTGTTCAGGAACCAACTCAAACCTTACTGCAGGGCATAAGGGGGGGTGGGTTGGACAGTCTCTGAGGAGGTTGTAGGGAAGCAATCTCTGCTCTGGCTAGGATCTAGATGGCAGGTCCTGCAGAGGGCAGGCAGTGGTCATGTCACGGAGCAGTCTCTCCTCCACAGATGGCGTTTTGGATGTGTGGACATTTCACAACATTAATTCTTCTGATCCATGAACATGGGAATATCTTTCCATTTGTGTCTCCTTATTTTCATCAATGCCTTTTAGGTTTCATTGTACAGATTTTTTCACTTGATTCAGTTTTTTCTAATTAGTTTATTGTTTTTTATGCTATTGTGAATGGAATTGCCTTCTTTATTTCTTTTTTAGATATTTTATTGTTAGTGCATAGAAACAACTAACTTCTATATTTTATATTCTGTAAGTTTATTGAATTAGTTGATAAGTTCTAACAGGTTTTTGGTTGAATCTTTAGGATTTTCTATACATAAGATCATAACATTTGAAAATAAAGACAGTTTAACTGTTTCATTTCTGACTTAGGTGGCTTTTATTTCTTTATCTTGCTTAATTGCTCTCTCCAGGACTTCTAATACTATGTTGCATAAGAGTGGTGTGAATGGGCACCTTGTCTTGTTCCTGACCCTGGAGGAAAAGCTATCAGCCTTTCACTGTTGAATATGATGTTATCTGTGGGTTTCTTGTATATGGCCTTTATTATATTGAGGTATGTTTCTTAAATATCCAATTCGTTGAGGGTTTATATTATGAAAGAATGTAGAACTTTGTCAGATCCTTTTCTTGTATCTATGGAGATGATATTACTGTGATATCATACTATTTGCTTATGTTGAACCATCCTTACATCTCAGGGATAAATCACACTTTATCATGGTATATGATCCTTTTTATGTATTGTTGAATATGGTTTGCTAATACTTTGTTGAGAATTTTTGAATTTATATTGTCCAGAGATATTAGTACATAGTTTCCTTGTAGTGCCCTATTTTGGTCTTTGTATTAATGTAATGCTGGGTTTGTAAAATGAGTTTGGGAGTGTTTCATCCTCTTCAGTTTTTTGGAAGATTTTGAGAAGGATCGGTGTTAAATCGTCTATAAATATGTGGTGGAATTTACCATCTGGTCCTGGCCTTTTTATTTCTCCATTCCTTTCCTTATCTTTATATCAGTGAGACTTCTGATCATTTTAAA